CGATAGCAAGCATTTAAAACACTTTTCAAACAGTTTAAGGCACTTTTACAGGAGCGAAAAGGGACATCGTTGTGCGAAAATTCCCCATAGGAAACATCGTTGTGTGAGGCGGCAAATTTTTCAGGAAAAGCCATCGTTGTGTGAATTTATCGTTGTGTGAGGCACTCGTTGTGCAAGGCACCACTGTATATAACTGCTGTGGCATTGCCGGGCCTAGAGGCCCTCCACATGTTGATTGAAGCCAGGGACGGTATTGAGATCTTGCTGGCATATTGTGCTTCCCGTGATCCAGCCACCTCCCTACTGCAGCTAACCGACTTTGTCTCCACGGCTCTGTTGGGATCCCCAAGACTGATTGTCCTGGGCGTTTTCAACATTGAGGCGGATGTTACCGGTCCGGCTCTTGAGTTCTTGGAAATCATGGTTTCCTTGGACATGTCCCAACATGTTAACGGCCCCACGCACATGGGTGGCCACACTTTGGACCTGGTTTTCTTCACTGGGCAGAGTGTGGCCCAATGGTTACTGGCCTTCGGTCGGTCCCCTTGTCGTGGTCGGACCACCACCTGATAAAGTGCAACCTCACAGTGGCCCTACCTCCCTTTGGGGAGCAGAGACCTATTTTCATGGTCCACTCTCACAGGCTATTGGATCCTATTGGATTCCGGGATGCCATGTGTGGGATTCTGACTGATATGGCTGGCGTTTCTATCGAGGCTATGGTGGATGGCTGGTATGCCGCCACTGCCAGGGGTGTAGACACAATTGCTCCTAAATGCTTCTCCGCCACAGAGCCCAACCAGTGCCTTGGTTTAACCAGCAGTTGACGTTTGGAGGCGGAACCCAACGGAAAACAACTTTAAAACTGTCAAGGTCTAATATCTACCTTGCCAAGGTAAAGGCTGCTACAAAAACTTACTTCGCTGTCTGGATAAGTGAAGCATCCAGTCAGAAGGCAGAACTTTTCCATATAGTACGCAACACATTATCCGGAATTAGCCACAATGATTGGCCTCCATCTAGCATTTCTTGAGACCAATTTGCAGCATTTTTAAAATCAAAAGTGGCCATCCGCCAGGATCTTGCACCCTATTTGAAAACAGTGGATCAAGCCGATACATCCAGCACAGTGCCTTGTCTGTTGAGAATTACTCAGTTTCAACCTGTGATGTCCGTTGAGGTGGATAAGGTCCTTGATCCCTGCCGCACCACCGCCTCCTCCCTTGACCCTTGCCCGGCCTGGCTAATCAAAGCTGCCAGGCTGGTGATAACTGAATGGGCTACTGAAATAATAAATGAGTCTCTTTTTGAGGTCTCTTTTAAAGGAAATGATCATTAGGCCCAAAGAAACCGAGTTTGGCAGCAGACAACATTGGCAACTATAGGTCCATCACCAATGTTTCTTTCCATAGCAAGGTAGTTGAGAGGGTGGTGGCCAGTCAGCTTCAGGCCCTCTTGGATGAAACCGACACCCTGGATCCATTTCAGTCAGGCTTCAGGCCGTACCACAGCACAGAAACGGCATTGGTCACCCTGCTGGATGACCTACTTAGGGAGGCTAACAGGCAAATTGTCCTTGCTCGTCCTCATTGATATCTCAGCTGCCTTTGATACCGTTGACCACAATTATTTTTTATTTTATTTTATTTATTTGATTTATACCCCGCCCATCTGGCCTAAAAGGCCACTCTAGGCGGCTCCTGGGGAGGCTCTCCGAATTGGGGATTGATGCCCTTACCCTCGCTCAGCTCCAGTCGTTCTTGGAGAACCGTCCTCAGAGAGTCCAGCTTGGGGAGAATGTTTCGGCCCCGTGGTCCCTCAGTTGTGGGGTTCTGCAGGGTTCAATCTCCCCAATGCTGTTTAATATCTATATGAGACCGCTGGGGCAGGTCATCCGGGGATGTGAAGCTTCGTGTCACCAATATGCTGATGGCGCCCAGCTCTACATCTCCTTTTTTCCATCTGCAGTGGATGCCATTCCGTCCCTTGGGGAGTGCCTGGAAGCCGTCCTACAATGGATGCAGTCGAATGGACTGAGGTTGAACCCGGACAAGACGGAGGTCTTGTGGGTGGGCGGCCCCGATGTCAGTGGTTTGGGGAACTCCGTCTCTTTTTTTGGGGGGGGGTGACTTTCACCACAAAGAATGTGGTTAACAGTCTGGGGGTCCATCTTGACCTGGCACTTACCATGGAGACCCAGGTAGCATCCGTGATTCGGTCTGCCCACTTAAACATCTTCGGCGGCTTGCCCAACTGTGTCCTTATTTAGATGCGGAGGCACTGACCAGGCTGGTCCATGCACTTATAGTCTCAAGAATAGACTACTGTAACACTATCTGTGTGTGGCTTCCTTTGAGACTGATGTGGAAGCTTCAGATGGTTCAGAACGCGGCGGCCAGGTTATTAACGGGGGTGACGCGCCCTCCCCTTGCTTACGGAGGTCGCCATATTTCCCCCACTCTGGCCGCCCTACACTGGTTAACTGTCCATCCCCCACTCTGGCCGCCTTACACTGGTTAACTGTCCGCTTCCGCATCAATTTCAAGGTGTTAAGTATTATAACATATAAAGCCCTAAATGGTTTAGGCCCTCGATATCTGGCAGAGCGCCTTCTTCCGCCTAGTTCTACCTGTACCATATCACCCATTCCAGTCAGGCTGGGCGGCTGAAGGACCTAACATCAAGAGAGGTCTGAAGGGAAAAAACTAAAAATCAGGCCGTCTCGGTAGTGACCCCTCGTCTCTGGAATAACTTACCTGCAGAGATCTGCCTGGCCCCTCACTGAGGGCCTTCAAGACCAACCTGAAGACATGGCTATACAGGCAGGCCTTCCCTACAACCATCACCTAGCCTATTTATTTCCTATTTTCCTCTTTTTCTTTTTCCATCTTGGGCTCTGTGATTAATTTGGATTTTACCTTTAGTTTATTTTTTTATATTTTATGTAAACCACCCAGGGTAAACACGTTCTAGATGGGCGGTATATAGGTTTAATAAAAAATAAGTAAGTAAGTAAGAATTCTTTGGAAGACTTTGTGAAGGTTTGTTCAGGTACTGACAGATGGTGGTAATCCAGGTCTCAGCATCTTCCTTCCACAGCAAGTGGACAGAAGCACATATGAGACTGCGACCCATGTGCCTAAAAATGCCATAGGATATAGGTGCTGATATGTTGATGTGTCAAGTAATAACTGAAAAACAAATAAATGGTTTGGACTTCATAAGATTTAAATTCTGTGTTCCACTTTGAATTTTTACTTTACAAAATTTCTTAATACTGTAAACAAAATGTACAGTCAACTCACTGTCTTAATATCTTGTTGCTTTCCAGTTATTTGCATGCCAAGTCGATCATTCACAGAGACCTCAAGAGTAATAGTATCCTTTTTTCTTTTTAAAAAAAACCCTGCCTTTTCTGTTTCCTCCTCCTTAAAATAACAGTTGGCTCTGAAAAAACACAAGAGGTAAAAAATGTACCGTACAGCAAATCACTTATTTAAGTGAAAAATGAGGAACAGCCATCTGCTCCAATTTACCTTTAGTTTTAAAACAAGATAACGGTATTTTAGCATCTGCATCCATCTTTATCTCATTGGCTGAAATCCTGTTGCTTAATGTAAGAAAATGTATAACTTTCAGTCCAATCCTAACCAGCAAATGGCAAAGGCCAAGCCGAGGTGTGTATACACATTCCCGAGAACTGCAGTGCAGACTCTGTTTGCTAGCTAAGAATAGACTAAACATTACACCAAGCAACAGGATTTTAGCAGTTGAAATGAATTATGTATGCAACATCTACTCCTCAATCTACATTTTGGATTGGATTCCTAATTCAGCATGTGATATGCGTATGGATCTCCTTCAGTGAGTAGGGATGACTTGTTCCTGGGGGTGCAGTGGTGATAGCTAGGCAAAAATGAAACAGGATTCTTTGTAGTAGTCTCTGTATGTCACACGCATAGGTCTGTATTTGCAAGTGCCACTGTTTAGAACCTTCCAGATAGAGTTTTCATAGTACTGCTCCTTCTAGCTATAGTGCATGCTGTCCCTTAGCTTCACTTCAGCTGCCACAGTGACCATATCTACTAGGTTGCCATAGAGCAAATTAGACTCATGCCGTCATTTTGCAGAATCGTCTTTTATGAATATTTTCTCTTTAACTTGTTGATTTTTTTCTTTGTACCACCATTCTCTTTTACTTTTTTAAATGCATTGTTCCTCTTAAGTCCTGCAGCTCCAGGGATGCTCTGTAGGTACTTTAGATATTGTTCCACCTATAAGGTTAAATTTCCCTTCAGAGATAAATACCTGTTTTACTGCAAAATTTATCCATCTTTTGAACAGTCAGCCTCATTGCAATGCAGTGCTTGAGTGAAATCTTTTTTTTTTCCTGGAGAAGGTCATTTGTGCTGTTGACACTTCTGCTAATGTCTTCCATTTTTAAATCTCTGGGTCTTCTCAAAGTGCTCCTTCCATTGACCTCAACACCACTTACTGTGACCCCTTCAGGCTTAATGTCAACCTCTACAGCTCTGTTGACATCAACTCAGTATGGAACGTAAACAAGTCCTGAAAAGAGAAAAGATCAGAATCTTCAGATTATCTCTAATCTGAATTTAATCGCTCTGAATTTATCACTGTTTACTTTGCAGAGGTAGGAGTATTATTTGACAAATCAACATCAGATACCCTACAAACTGAATCTTCCCCTCAACCTTACCATGCAGCAATTCCCCTCGATGCACAAGTGCCTGATGAGGTACATAAAGGATCCATTTAACCTGAAGTGATCCAGCAACTTGCACAAGAAGAAGCTCAGCGAGTCCCAGCAGTACCGTACATTACAGTTAGCATCTCTGCCAAGCATAACTGTATAAACATTCATATCTGTAACCACTTAGCCAACATTTTTGATACATAGCCTTCCTGTTCCAGCTGCAGCACTCTTGACAGGTTAGATATTATACCAACCACAGTACTGATGCAGTACACATCTTAGCCTGCTCCATTATTCAGTCCTTGTTAAATCTTTTTATTGCTCAGTAGATCCATTGAATCCAGTTGTACCATGCCACTTCTATTGTGAAACACATCAGAAATAGAAATTCTGTAATATCCTTGTTATATTATAGGTCTGTTATCCTTGTCATGGTGCCACTGGCATACCTTGCCCAGATCAATCTACCTCTTACAGTTGTCAGTCTTTGACAGGATAACTATCATTCCTCAACCAAGAAGACTTTCCTCTACCTTCCAAAATTTCAAATAGTCATCCTACAAATACAAGTCAACTGACTCCAAATGCTGCTTTTGACTGGGCTTGCCTCCTTGATACCTAGTACAATGTCTTGCTGCCTTTCTGTCATGCCACTAAATAGATGTCCAACACAAATTTACATTTGATAGATGGATCCTTTCCATCATCCAGAGGGGCAAGCAAATAGAATTTAGCTCTCTGTCTCCTAACTATGTTTTGTTCACCTCTTTCCCTAATAGCCCGTCTAGAAGAGATTGACAGTCTCTTACACAAAGGAACCATCAAACTGGTACTTCTACATCAATCAATAATGCATTAGCTACTATTAGAGCTTCATAGTCTTTAAACTTCATAAAGACTTCATAGTCTTTAACAATCCTGAACTTTGTCGGTGTCAAATAAATTCATAAAGGTGAAGCACTTCTGGGTGATAACTCTCCCTGATATTCTACCCCTTGTATAGGAAGATGTGTGGCTTGTTGTGATCAATTTGAATGGTGCTTATTTCCATATAGCATTTATCTGTCGCTGACAACAGGGGAAGTCATTAATGATCCTGTGGGATAAGAGTCTATTGCTGACTGCCTCTAATAAAAGTACCTCATTTTTCCATCAGCAGTGATCACCACCAATGCTATGTCCTGCTCTTTGTTTTTTCCACAGCATCAGGAGTCTTCACCAAGACTGTGATAGTTGTCACAACACACATACAAGAAAAAAAAAGTAGTTTTATTTCAAAACATCAGTTGATTAGTGCCTTTTGCACCAAGTCTGTCTTAAGTTTTTTTATGCTGACCCTATTCGGAGACTGCTCTATAACCTGTGTCTTCACCAAGACTGTGATAGTTGTCACAGCACACCTACAAGAAAAAAAGTAGTTTTATTTCAAACATCAGTTGATTAGTGCCTTTTGCGCCAAGTCTGTCTTAGTTTTTTTATGCTGACCCTATTCTGAGACTGCTCTATAACCTGCCTTTCTCTCAACACCAGTAAATTGTGCCTCACTCAGGATATGCTATATTTATGGGAACCAGACTGATCTTATACCTGGTCTTAGCAGTTGTTCTAGGGGGCAAAGCTCTCCAGATAATTTCTGTGGTTCATGCTACTTCAACCCAACCCAGAGTTGCAGCACTCTGTATTTTTAGGCCTTGGAAGGGAGTTTGCAGTGCTTCCTTTCACCAAACTCTGCTTGTGACTACTGTAATCCTGTTTTTTTTTTCTATACTGCAACATGGTTCTCAACTCAAAAGAATTTTGGCTCACAGGTCCTCCTTCAGTGTTGGACCATTCCCATGCACCTATTTGTAGACTTGCTTGTCCTGTGGTCACAACAGATGCATCCAGCGATGGTTGAGGTCGTTGTATCCATCACTGCATCCAAAGTAGGTGGACAACAAAGAAAGCTGTTAGTAAGCTGGATAGGATTCCATTGCAGATTGCCTCTAAAAGTCACTCCACCAGAGCATTAGCCATCTCTCTCCTTTTGAAGGAGCCTTCATACTGGAATAGTGTTGAGTAGCAAATTGGCCCCAACCTGATGGCTTTCATCCAGTTCTATTGCCTAGAACATTAGAATCTTCAAGGGTGCCTTTTCATAGGCTAGTCCTCTGTGCTGAGCTCCAGTAAGTATATATGACTATTGTATAGTATTCCAAATCTTTTTTGCAGGTAAGCTTACTCATTTTTACCCATACAACATGATACACAGAGACCACAACAAAGAAAAGCCAATTGTGTACCTGTAACATTTGTTCTTCTAATGATCATAGTTTTTATTAATTTTCCATAGGAATAGGGGTTGAGGTACAGATAAAGAATTCTGTCAGCTTGGGTCACATGCCAGCTTGGATTATAAGTACTATGGGAAATTAGAAATGCTGCTGCTTCTCTTTTTCTTTACATCTCCTGCTCAGATATATTTCTTCATGAAGACCTCACGGTAAAAATAGGTGACTTTGGTCTGGCAACGGTGAAATCACGGTGGAGCGGGTCCCATCAGTTTGAACAGTTGTCTGGATCAATTCTCTGGATGGTAAACAAAGGAGATGTTCTCCAAACTGTGTTCTGTTTATTCTGCTTGGCACCATTGCCTCACTAGACTCATGTCTATCACCTTTCTAAGATTTGACATAAATGCTTGATTTGGCTCTAGACATTTAAATTCATTGTACAGAGGACTCTATTATACCACCTTGCGCCATGAAACACTTCTGTTCTTTGTGAAGTAGTTCAGTGATAATATCATTTCTTCTCCTGATGGAGATCTCTGTCCAGTCCAGTGCTTCTCTCCTCATGAGGTGTCACCTCATATAAGTGCTCTGTTACAGTTGACCTGATTTACACTAAGCATAGGCCTGGAAGAATCCCCCTGTCAACCAGAGCTTAGAAGCATTATTATTGGGGCTACAGCTTCCAGTATCTCAGTATTACAGACTGGGATCTTTATGCTATTTTTTCAGAAATGAGTTTCAATGTTTCAAGGTGGAAGTAAACTACAGTAAAGTCTCCTGACAAATTTTTAAGTGTTCCACCATAGATCAGTAAACACTTCCAACTAACAACAGTGCCCCCCCCCCAAAAAAAGTGCCTGCCTTTCTTTCTAAATTAGGTTTTTGGAATAAATAAAGCTTGAGGAGAAAATGAGCAAGTATATATGTGAAAGAATTGTGCAAACTGCATTTCCAGTAAGAAAAATGGCTTGAGCTGGATGTGTATTCAGAGATATCCTATTCTGAGATTCTGTATTCCCCATGCTGGACCATTATATTCTGGCTTGTGGATTTCAAGTTTACACAGGCAAACAAAATCAATCCCCCAAGACTAAAGTGTACCTCTGCCTGATAAAACAAGAAAGCAGCTTGTTGTGCTTACAAAATAAAGCAATTTTCTTCTTTGTTGTAGGCACCAGAGGTAATTAGGATGCAGGATAAAAACCCCTATAGCTTTCAGTCAGATGTATATGCATTTGGGATTGTTCTGTATGAACTGATGACTGGGCAGTTACCGTATTCTAATATCAACAACAGAGACCAGGTAAGGCATGTTTTTGCAGGGGCTTGGATTCTTCTAATGACATGTGGCTCGTTCTTTTGCATTCTCACCTCGGATTTAATCCTGCAAAATTAGCTTTAAAACAAAACAAATTTTGATTGTATATTGGGGACAGTTCTGTTCTGATTTACTGAATGATATGGGAAGCATTAATTATTGATCAGCTGGATGATCTTTTAGACTACAACGATACTGTCTTCCTACCCTACTGCTTGGAAGACCAGTGCATAGATAAATGCAGAATGTTCACTTTAGGAAATAATCTAGGGAAAGAAATAGAAAGAATGGATGTCTGTCTCCTGATTTCCTTTGAATCTTGCTTTGTGCTTGAGTGCCACAAGGGCTTATGACTGGAGTAAGGCCCTTCCTTGAAATTTTGGGGTGAATCACCCTGCTGTCCCAGTCAGTACACAAGGTGCCTACACCTGATGTTCTAGTACTTTGGGTGCTTGTATAATCTTTAAGATCTGGGGATTCACAACTTTAGATCCCTTTTTCTTTGAGGGGAATAACTGGCAACAAATAACAAAGTGGATGGAATGAAGCTATCAGCACAACCAATTCAGTACTGCCTGGAATTGAGAGAACTAATTGATTTGGTTTCTCAAAGAATAGACTCCTCTTGTGCCAAAAGTGAATGATGTGATGCGGGTAGCTTATGTTTATAGGAAGATGGCAAAATTACATTGGGTATGCTCAGTTCCCCAGGTGGGCATAAATGAACTCTTTGGATCTTGTTCATTGCTGCAGAATAAAATCCTGGTTTTGCATAACAGTACAGCCTGGTAGATTTGTTTTTAAGGAACTCCATTGAATTTGAGTAGCATAAAAAACATTCTTTGCTAACAATTTATTGGTATAGTTGCAGAGGTAGGCAATAGGTTGATTTGGTGTCCATTTTTGCTGCCTTGGGAAGGCTTTTGCTGAAAGGTCGCATGAAATACTTTGAACAAATTTAGATAAACATTTTTCTAGAGTTGTCAAGCCAGTAGGTCAGCCTAGCCAGCATAGTTATTCAGTAGTGTTACTGCATGGATACTAGGCTACAATTGGTAGGCATGTTGCAAACATCTTACTTTGAGGTTTTTAACCTTCCAGGATAGAAGGAATCAGATATTGTCATACTGTATGAGCTTAAGGGTAACAAGAGACAAATTCTGTGCAAGCCTTGTGCTACTTGAAAAGTCCAGTTTTTAAAAGCAGAGTCCCCCCCCCACTCCCCAAATTTAATGTGTAAAAGACAGAATTGGTTTGAATTTTCCCTCTTCATATTTTTCATTCTCTCCTTGCTCTAAACCAAGATCATTTTTATGGTGGGGCGAGGATACCTCTCTCCAGATCTTAGCAAAGTGCGAAGTAATTGTCCCAAAGCCATGAAAAGACTAATGGCAGAATGCTTGAAGAAGAAGAGGGATGAACGACCCCTCTTTCCACAGGTAAGAATTTCTCATAATTGGCTTCAGGAGCAATGTAATATTTAGTACTAAATCCAGATATCTTGCTGCTTTAGGGTTACAATTATATTGTCAAATGGGTGAGCCAAAACAGCCTTCCCGCTTTGCTGCAGTTCATGGCACAGTGATTACTGAAGTTGTTTTGGGGATAGGATGGAGACTTGAAATTATTCAGCATCTTTTGCAGCAGAGTTGGAATGCATATAGAAACTGCCATGACACCTCTACTGTTGTTGCAATTCTTTCATCTTCTAGAAAATGCATCACTGCTTGATTCTTCAGTGTCTTCTTGTATGTATAGTTATTTAACAGCATTTTTGGTTAAAAATGTATACACATCCAGCAGTTCAGGCCACATCAAGACTTTTTTACTGTGGACACTACCAAGTCTCCCAGTTCCCAAAAATTTCCTTGGATAATACCAGTGACATACTAGCAAGATTAGTATCACTGATTGCTATTTTGAAAAGGAATGTGATGGTACTTGAGAGCACCAGCTGCTTAAAAAAGTAAACCGCTCTTATTGTACAGTGATAAAAGCCATTGTGATGCAACATATACAATGTTGTATTGAGACTCAGGAGACCTGAGTTCAAATCCCCACTTGGCCGTGAAAACTCAACGAGTGTGTGAGAGTGGATCTGCTGAATAATTCAGTGGTGTAAGTATTTGGCTGTGAAGCCAGAAGTTGGGAGTTTGATTCCCCATTGAGCCTCCTTGACAGGGACTGGACTTGATGATTCATAGGGTTCCTCCTAGCTTTGTAGTAGAAAGATGATAATGATGATTACATCACTCCTTCTGAGATGCTGTGGAAACCCTAATAAAGGTTGCCGTAAGTCAAACATGACTTGATGACACATACCAACAACAAAGTGGTAAAGCATTAAGCATAGTTTTTTCTGCCCTATAAAAATAACTGCCACCATGGACATAGTAAGAACTCGATCCTCCATCTGCACTTAACTGCTCCAAATTGTGTTCAAACATAACTGGGGGGGGGGGTTAAATTAGGGGGATGATACTGGGTTCCTATTTTGTTTAAACTCACTCCTGGGTACTTCAATTGCACAAGTTTTTTTAAACAAAGTACCTGTTTTTAGAACAAAAAGATTGCTCTCTGTTGCGTATGTGACCTGGGAATGTTGTGGTAGCTTGGTCAGCATGAGGCACGAAAGAATTGTTCCCTGTTATCACTGCTGTTATCTGCTTTGAGATTTGAGAGAAATAACAGTTCTTCACCATAAATGTCTGGATTTATTTTTCTTCTCTGTTTTCTCCTGCTCTAAACAAAATTCAAGAGTTGCTGATGCATGTTTCTGCCCTGCCCAAGTGAATCACATTCTGCTGCTGGAAGAAGACCAGCAGCTTAGGAGGTGGTTCACATGTCAGTGAAGAGTTGATCCTGTTTACCTGGTAGTCTATCAAATCTCTATGCACAAAGACCTTGTAAGAAGGGTGAAAGAATATGAAGCGCCATACTATTTTAGGACTGTGCTGAACTTAATATGGCATGACAATTTTAGTACTTGAATTGCAGTTTCTCTTTGTAATGTTCCAATACTGCTTCAAGTGATAAGCCAGTTGTAAAGCCTTGTAAATCTGATACTGACTTATAAATGGGGAGCTAAAGCAAGCAGTTGTGTCATCTTTCACCAGCTTTGTAAAAAGATGGCTTTAGCTCCTATATGACAACTTCTCCCCAATTTACTAAGTTTCTTAGATAAACATCAAAAACAGGACAATGTGAAAATTGCTCACTGAGACATAATGTGTCTCAGCGTGTGACCCTGTCATTTCTCCCCACCCTGCAATAGGCTTCACCTTACTTTATTTTGTTTTCAGATCCTTGCCTCTATTGAGCTTCTGGCCCGATCGTTGCCAAAAATTCACCGCAGTGCATCTGAGCCTTCCTTGAACAGGGCTGGTTTCCAGACTGAGGATTTTAGCCTGTATGCTTGCGCTTCTCCAAAAACACCCATCCAGGCAGGGGGATACGGTGGGTTTTCTGTAAACTGAACAGAAGTTGATGTCTTCACACATGCTTTAAATTCAGGAAGCTATTATAGCAGGGAAGGCTCAATGACTGTATAAGGACTTATCTAACACTGAGCCACCTGTGTTTTCAGAATGGTATCCATTGCTGGCAATGGATTGCCTAGGAATTGCTCAGCAGAAGAAGGAAAGGTAGTTGAAAACTAATACACAACCATTTGTGTTTGGGTCATAGGTCAAGTTTCTTTTTTTTGTGCCATCTTTGTTTTATAGATGAAATGAGTGTATAGGTAACTGATAGACTTTTACAGTTGTACCTTACATGTTTTGCTTTTGCTCCTTGAGTCTTTGTGGTGGTGTAGCAACAGTTTTTTATTTTGAAGTCAGGGGCATTGCTGACAACACATAAAGGTAAGGTGAAAGACTAAACGGCTGTGTTTGCCCATTTGTTTTAATGCGCAATAATGAGCAAGCAGCACACAACACAAAGATTTGGCAGGGAATAGCTTGTGTTTTGAATTTTCTTCTCACTGCAAGTTGTTGTTTACTTGGACTTGAGAGATGTCTCTTCTTTTTTTTTTGTACCTGGGTTTTATTTTGTCATTGTTATTGCCTTTGTTTCGTCCAGCTGTTGCTTTAACATCTATTATCTGTTTAAAATTGCAGGGTACAAGCCTTTGCATCACAGTCCTTTTAAGTGTTTTAATGATCAGCTAGGCCCAATAGACTAGAAAGAAACTTAAAAACAATTCACCAAGTGAATCTTGTTTCTGTCCGTTTGGCTGTGCATTAAAATGGCTGCCACGCCTTAGAACAGTGATGTCAGTAAAAGGGTGAGGGGTGTTGTCTTGTAAAAGCTGAATGGTAAACTTTAAAAGTTGGTTAAAGGTGGGAAGTTCCAACACAAATTGTCTTACAGAAGTTAATGGCTTGCTGCTATTGCTCAATATTATTCCGGTTAAAATCTTCTCTGAAATCTCCTTTCAGTGGTGAAAATGTTTTTATCTTCATGTATGGAATTTATCCACTTTGGGTGCAAAATTCCAGAAAAACAATATGGGAGTCAAGAATCTTAACAGAATTCAGCTTAGTTCTCAGTCATATACACCCTATTTTATTTCTGTTTCATTTTCTGTTAGACTGTCTACCTTAAATAGGTAAACCAAAGTGTTAATTTTCATTCCTTCATGTCGCAATGACCTCTGCTGACAGGAATTTAAAAAGTGAATCTCATCAGTATCCCTCCAGTCAAGATTTTTTAACCTGTATGATTACTGTTATTTACTTTGTGATTTCTGATAAATATTCACTAAGGCAGGTATGAGGTATGTACCCTAGCTGTTTTCCTTTTGTATGAAGAAGCTTGTAGAACTTTTATTTTTCATTGTCAAACACAGGAAAGTAGGATAATTCCTCTAAAAGCTAGAGCACAACTGTCAAACTAAAGCATTTAATTTTGTACCAGACATTTTTCAAAAATAGTATTGGGCAGTTAAATCAGCTGATTTTTCAAACAGCATTATCAGTGGATGGGGTGGCAGCAAACCCTAAGATAGGAATAAAAGTCAGGTACAACAGTAATACTGTACCTAGTATCATAAAGTTGCCACTAAGTCTCATAGCCTGTCCTGAACCACCACTTAAACTTCTGCTGTAGTGTAGCCCTAGGGCAGTGATGGTGAACCTATGGCACACGTGCCACAGCTGGCACGCAGAGCCCTCTGTGGGTATATAAGCCATAAGTCAACGGATTGCTGTCGTCCCCCCCACAGCCAAATCTCAGGAGACAGCTGCAGCCGGGGTGCTGTCGCTTTGACAGATGGTGGGCCAGGATCCGGAGCAGCTAGCGCTGACAGCAGATCCGGAGTGGGGTCTCGAGGCACCTCCATGCCCAGGATTCCCCCTTCCACCGCCTCTTCTAGTTCTGCTGCCGTAGCCCGCTGTTTTGTTTTGGTTTTGGTGTGTGTTTTTTGTGTTTTCTGGTTCCACACATGTGCTTTTTTTCTCTCCCCAGTTTGGGCACTTGGGCCCAAAAAGGATCACCGCCACTGCCCTAGGGTATTGTGGGAAAGTTTAGGTAGCAGTCACTTGATGCTAATTAAAGTAGCACAATCATTGGGTACGCCTGCAAGATGGGTGAAGCACTGGAATGGGAGGGGTCTATAAGAGAACCTGTGCCAAGGTTCCCTTAAGTTTACAACCAGCCAGAGAAATTCTGGTGCAGACCTCTTCTGACCTGGTAGAAGTTGTAAATTCCCCCTCCTCTTTGGCCACATACTACCTTTCATATAAGTTTGTTTTGGGTCAGGAGATGAAAGACATCATTACATGGATGAAAAATCTGCAGGTGCATCACTGTCTCAATTCCATCTTGGGCAGCCTAGTTTATGTAAGGTAGTTGGTAGCAACTAAGAAGCATTTCTGCAGGAGAGACGTTACTTTGCAAGAGGTCCACATCAATGGTTCACATGGCCCTTGAGGGGAACTGCTTTTATTGGGCAGTGAATAGGAGAAAGAGGGCCTGACAGTCTGCCAGTGGAGTTTGTGAGTTGGTAGCAGAGGTACAGGAGGCTCACTATTGTGCACACATGTGGTTTTTAAGAACGGCTAACAGGGCTGAGGATGGACTAATGACTTCACATCCCATGTCCTTCTTGGGTACTACTAGTCCCTTAGCAGTTGCACTCCTGCACTATGCCACCACTGTGTGAAGCCTTCTGTTGTGGGCATTGCATTTGACTGTCCATTAGCAGCTCCATTTATACATCAAATAAATCACTTCATGAACTGTTGCATTTTGGAGGGTCCAGGACCATTTCACCTATCTCCTTCATAGCTGAACATTACTGTACTGTATACAGAAGTGTTGGTCACATTGCTGGGTCATGTCATGGAAACCACCCAGAGTGATCTTGAGAGCCAGATGGGCGGTATAGAAGTCAAATAAATAAATATAAATGTCATTCCAGCAGGCAGGGGACCTCTGTTCAGAGTACTGGGGATGTTTCCAAATAATTGCATGCCATGTAGCATGAGAACTGTGGGATCACGGTGCTTCTTGTTTCTTATTGCTCTTTTAAATTAAATTTTGCAAAATTTTGGTTTTGAACCTGAGATTGAGTGACTGTCAACATTAACAAGACTTAAGATAGAACAACTCTTTATGTTGTGCGAAGCTTCAGAAATGGGGAAGAAGCTGAGCCCAGAATGTTGTTGTTGCATGTAGTGCTCTTAACATATGACGAGAGGAAATAATTTGGTGGAAACTCCCCATCTAAATATATTTACAGTATGTCTTCACAATCCTTTAGGACCAGTTGACACCCAAAGCTGTTAGCTTAAATAGCAGACTAGATGAGTAGTAGAGGAATAATTTCCTGTTTATAGTTTGTTTTAAACCAGCAGTCTGTTTGAACAAATGAAAAGTAGCCAGGTGACATGTTTGAAAAGGAGTGTGAGGACATGAATGTTCTAAAATTGCTCTCAAAGTACAGTATATTTCTTGTCTGCTGTAAAACTGTTTACCGCAGGTCTTCCTGAGAAAAAAACAGTACAGCAACTTGAATAATATGCTGTAAAAAAGTAGAAGTGAATGTAAAATATTCTTGCTGTTTCACAGAAGCTCTGTTCATATGGTAAATAAGTTATAAATGTAGTGAACAATTGGCATTTACAGTGGTGCCTCGCTTTACGATTGACCCGCATTACGACGAATCTGCTTTATGACGATCTTTTTGCAATCGCAATTGTGATCGCAAAACGATGGTCTAAATGGGGGAATTTCGCTTTGCGATGATCGGTTCCCTGCTTCAGGAACCGATTCTTCGCAAAACGACGGTTTTCCAACAGCTGATTGGCGGTTTCAAAATGGCCGCCAGGTAAATAAAATGGCTCCCTGCTATGTTTAGGGATGGATTCCTCACTACACAGGCAGTGAAAATGGCCGCCGTATGGAGGATCTTCACTGGACGGTGAGTTTTAAGCCCTTTGGAACGCATTGAAAGGTTTTCAGTGCGTTTCAATGGGCTTTTTATTTTCGCTTTACGATGTTTTCGCTTAACGGCGATTTTCCTAGAACAGATTATCACCATTAAGTGAGGCACCACTGTATATCAATGAGATTGTCTTTGAGTAAGCTGCTCTTTTCATAAATCTAACTCTATTAGCTTCACTGCATGACAGTGCATAAAAGTTCCATCCTTTTTCTGCCTGCTAAATTAGCAACAGAAATGTTGGGAGTATGGAGAGTAAACCTCACAATAAGCCTGTGTCATCCCTTTGTAAATGTCTGACATTGAGCTTTTCAGGCAGCAGCTGCCATTCAGTTTGATCTCACATTTTTGTAACCCCGAACCATGTGAACAGCAATTTTAGAAACATGAAAAGTAATAATATTTTATTTGCAAACTCATTCTAAGAATCTCTTCTTCTGGTGTACTTTTAATACACTGCAAACCTGGGCTTGATTTGCTTTCTCTGACACTCCTAGTTCAGCATTGAATAACTTTATGTTCTTTCTCTGGCAGCAAGATACCTCGGTATATTTAATTATTATTAACAGTTGCATTTTCACCTAACATCTCCTGCATCCAGTATATATAATATTGAATTTTTACTGGATAACATCTCTGTCTTGCTAATGGATAAAACCCAACTTCTAAAACTTGGCTCTTGTCCTCCCTCTACAGGCGAATTTGCAGCGTTCAAGTAGCCACAGCAACAATGGCAGCAAATCCACTGTCTTACTTTTAAAGTTTTGTGTTCCTACAGTTTCTCTTGATAACATCCAGACTCAGTTCTGCCCCTCAAAACAAAGCAATTTAGAAAAAAGTGATCCATACACTTAAAAGAATGGAGCGACCAATCCAACTCTGGGTTGGAGGGGAAAGTCTCTTGTTAGGAACCAGAAATCTCTCTGCTGCCTATGTTTCCACCTCCACTCTAAACACCATGTGCATTTGGAGAGACCCCCTCAGTGGCTGCCTGTACCGTTGGCATCATTCCCAGGAGAGCGGAGGGCCTGCGCTTTGACTTGCTGGTTCTCTGGCATGGTGAGATTGGGACTCCTGCTGCATCATAGGCTTGGGATGGTCTGCTGGTCAGCTTTCTCCCTCTAACAACGAATCATCAGAGGCTGTTGAACATCTGATGACACAGAGCTAATCAAAACAATCATCTTCTGGTCTGTTTTGTGTGTGTGTGTGCACGTGCGTGTGCGTTTGTATGTGTGTGTGTGTGTGCGCGCGTGTGTGCTTTCTGATCTGTGAATTAATGCAGTATCTCCTTTTCAACTGAGGGTGAGCTTCACCTCTTTCAAATGAAAAAGAACGGCTGTGTTGGGGAACGCTTAGAGTAGAGAGTTTGGGAAACCATTAATTTTTCGGAAAAGGGGATGCTGCATCGTCTCTGTCCTTAATTGCTTTTATCTCTTTTCCAGAGCCACCCTTCTCCTCACCGACCCCAATTTCCCCTTTTTGTACACTTTTCCAAAAGGGTTGGGAGGCCTTTTTCATCAGTCCAGCAACAGACTTTTTTTTTTACAGAAAGTGTGGTGAAGTTCTAAATATGTGGCTTATTTTATGTTCCTTTTAATTCTGTGTGTGTGTGTGTGTGTGTGAACTTTTGGGGGATCCCCAGAAAGTCTAATACAGACTATGTATAACAAGTGTACCTATTTTAAAAGGTGCAAGATAAAGTCAGGTACCTAATGTTTCATAAACAGTTCTCAGGTTGAATTGAATATGTTTTAAAAACAAAACCCAGCCGCAGTCCTGCTTCCTCAAGGATTAGACATTTTAAAAAAGGCTTTGGTACTTTTTAAAAAAGAGCTTTTAATCATGTTAACTCTGCAAATTCTGTGGGTGTGTGGGGTGTATGTGTGTGGATGTTAATATGCAGTAACTTAAGTGGCAGTTTGCTGGTTTTGACTTTTTTTTTTAGTCGTTGAAATGGTACTTGCTGGATCAACACAGATTTATTTTCTCACCATTTTCCTGTCTTCAATTCCTTCCATGTATCTTCTTTTCTTTCCCTGTAATTTGTACCCTTAGCTTAAAGACTGTGTTTTGCTTTCTCTTTTTGCCTTGCCCTTAATCTTGATTTGCACAATGATTCTCAGTTCTGAATTTTGTCAAATCAGGATTAAAAAAATCAAGCTTACTCACAATGACTAACTTTGGTAGAATCATAATACTGTAAGTTAGCAGACTGTTTTCTGTTTGTAAAGAGGCATGTTGGATGCTCTTTGAAAGTGCCTGTAAAAAGCCTTGAGTTTAAATTTGTTTTTGCCCTGCTCTGAAACACAAAAAGATGGAAAGATTCACCCTTCCACAGCATCTGGGTAAAATCTGGTCACTTGAAGAGAGAGCATATTTGATATTTTTAATTTCTAGTTAGCAAATATTTTATTCTGTTGCTACCAGAGACAAGAGAAGGGAGATAATTTTTCTAGAAGGGTTTGTTTGTGGAAGCAGATATCAGTTGTCATGGAGGGGGTTATTTAATATAAAATATCTTCATTTTATGGAGAATTTAGGTATAGCTGAAATATTTAGCAGCAAACCAGAGAGCTTGCAGAAGTTGGAGCAAGAGCTGTAATTGAGATACTGTAAATTCAAACATAAGCTTGGTAGCAGTGGCAATGAAGCCACTGGGCACACCTATTTTGTTGTGTTGGGGGGACATATCCATGTAACAGCACAGGAGTGAATAGTTACAAGAAGCTATGGAGTTGTTCTGTAATTTCTCTTAACTGACTGTTTGGAGAAGCATCTAGTGGATTTGCACAGAAAACAGTAAAGCAATTCATGTTGACACGTGAAAGTGTGTTAGATGCAGTGTAAAACTGAAAAAGCACAACTTTGCTGTTTGTTTTTTGCTGTTCTTAGTGGTGCTCTACAGATTTGTTTAAAGTGGTGTATCTTAAACTTTCTGAAAATGAGCGATCCATTTAAATATATACTGTCTTCTTCCTACCACAAACCTATTGATAAAAATATCTTCCAGAATTGAGGATATGGAAATCCTTCCATTCATAGATACACACTACAGATTGGAAATGTTATTGTAAGAGCTGTAAAACTCTGAAATTAAAAATTCTGAAAGCTGTTCTTCCCATATTATACAAGCCTGATAGGGCAATGAATGTGTAGTCACTCCCATGAATCAAATGTAGATCAATGTGGATCCTCTACAAGGGAGTTTTCTTTCCACCCACATCTTGATGAGATGGGGAGGTAGCATCTATTTCACAATTCAACATCTCCTTGCTCCCTACAGATTAAAAACATTGGAATGGGTACATGTTGGACATGTTATCCATGGTTGACATGAATGAACCAACACTTCCCATGCCAGGAAAAGAAGCAAGCAATTCTTGCATATGTGCAGGGTAATTACAGAATAGTTTTCTTGCAGTTTCCTTCCATAGAGTAAATCTGATGCAGCCCAGCCTCACCCAGCCTCTGCCTCCAGCGACCCCCAGGTAAATTGAGTTTGAGACCCCTGGCCTAGGAAGTGCCAGTGCTGCAGCCCCAGCCTTGGCAAAACCTTAAGCATATTCAGAGAGAGAGAGAGAGAGAATGCTATCCTCTCCCTGTAATCTTGTATCCTGTTTTTCCCCATCTCACCTCCTCTCATCTGTTTTATCAAGTTATATATTTTCATTGCAGAAAACAACCAGCTGTTGTTCCTCTTTTTAGTTGCTCTGAATAGTCCCTTGAGTACTAACTGATGCTGGGCACTCTGCTGCACCTCCCCAGCTGGATCACTCTTTTCTGCTGCAGCTGTGGGCTGTTTGCATCTTTTGTCTGCTACTTTAGCATGTTGCAGTTTGCCTTGAAGTATCAGATAGAGTCTCCATTCTTCCTTGAACGTTTGCCACTCTTAAATAGTAGAAGGAAGTGCCTCAGGCAGTACAGGGAGGAAAACCCTTCTTTGCTGCTCTCCAGAATGCGATCTTTTGAAGATGTAGTATGCTATGGCTTGCATCTCTGCCGTTTTTATGTAGAATTTTTTTTCTTGAGAGGAAGTTCTACTGGTTGCTATTTTTACCTCAGGTAAGTGTCTGCCTACCTCATTTGAAATAACTACTTGTAAAATCTATATTTCTTTTGTCACAGGAAATTGTTATGTCAAGACTAATAGGGATGGGAAATTTGTATCCTGGTTTGATTGTATTATGGTTTTGATATTCATGAGACTGCAGTAACCTTAAAAATTATATAGGTGAAGCACTAAAGAAAGGATTTTGTTCACACAAAGCACTTTATAACAAATGACATATGTTTTGTTTTGTTCTTTTCAGTGTAACAGTGGAGATAATTTGTCTGCAATTCCAGTAGGAAATTTATGTTATCTTCATTTCATTCCTTTTCCCCTCTCTCCTCCTCTCTGGTAGCAAATCTGAAGTTTCAAATATATTTTCCTGGTTCAGCACCTAGAATGGCAGGACAAGATGCTATGACCAACATTATGTTTAGAAACATGTGGCCAAAAGCATCTTCACAGCTGTATAACTACAGCAAAGCTTGCAAATTCAATGCTTGCCATAAACCTGTAGCTGATTGAGAAATTTTACTCTAGTTACAAAAGTAGAGCTATCTTATAAAAAAAAAAACCCAATTCCAGTCCCACCCACCCAAATATTGTGACTCCTCTAAACATTTAATCTAGTAAGATAATTTCAGCTTCCAGCAGACTAAGTACAATGGTACTAAAGCAGCTAAATAGTTGGGACTTTTAGTCACAAATAGCATAAGGTTACTGTTGCATAGGAGTGCAACAGTGATCTTGAGCTGGCAAAGCAAATCAACATTCTAAAAATAGGGCAGCCCAAACAAAACATTATAACTTTGAAACTGGGCTTCAGATCAGCATCAGATTTGGCACATTTGTAGCAGAGAACCTGCTTTTATTCTGTGCCAGATATTGGGGCAAAGGGTTTTTACGATTTTTTTAAAAAGTAAAACTGTTCCTCCACATTCAGAAATAGGCAAGCCTAATTATTTCCAGATTTAAAATATATCATATTGTTTATCTTGAAAGAGAATGGTTGACCGCACCTTCTAGTTCTTCTTTATTTAAAAAGAATCCAGGCTGCAGGGGCTGAAACGTTGGTCCTCAAAAAAGGCCTTTCATAAAGGAGGAAAAAAACTACTTTGTTATAAGACTGAGCATGTGGAGTGCAGGCCAGTAAGAGCATCACAAAATGAAACTTTGCAGTAATTCATAGGTGAGGGAGGGAGAAATTTAGAAAGAAAGGTCAGAATCTTACTGTAAATTTTGTGCAACTACTATGGCTAATAGCAGCTAATGGACCTGGTACCTCAACAGTTAAACAAAGAAAACATTAAGCAAACACTAATAGGATTCTAGCCAATTCATGTTAATGGGCAATGTGTGATCAAAAGAGCTGTTGTTGCTGCTGTTGATGTCTTAAAGGGATCTGATAAATTAGAATTGAATTTTTAAGGAATACTGAAAAAGAATTTTGGAAACAAGTTTTTGGGAATTGCTGATAAATTACACCAAAGTCACAAAACCATTTTCAGTATATATAGCATGGATTGCAACCCAGTTAGCATTCCTCATGATACAAAACACGAGTGTCCATTGCCATCCAGTGTGATGGGCTTTCCATCATTGGAGCTTTTCAAACAGAGCTTATATGGCCACTTGTTGAGATGCTTTAGCTGTGGCTTTTATGCTTCAGCAGGGGTTGGACTTGATTACCTTCGGGTCCTTCTAGCTTTACAGTTCTGTTTCTAGATCTCCTCTTTTATTTGAGATTTTCCATTAACAACTGATGTGACCCATCCAGAATAACGGAGATATCAAAAGTATTGAGGCTCTTGGCAAACAAAACAAAATGGTTTACAGAGGACATAACCTCTTTTTTTAACATAACTGAAAAATATGTAAATTTAACAAGAAATTATGTTGGTGAATATAAAAGTCTCAAGATTGCAGTTACAGAAAATTATCTCTTGAAATCAATTTCAAGAAACCCTTCCAACCCCACTTACAAAACACCATAGAATTAAATAAAGTAAACTTAAAATACCTAGGTGTGACCTTGTTAATTAATCTGAACAAGTTATTAAATTTTAACCCCAATAAATATCAAACAAAACATAATCAATGGGCAAACTTGAATTAGATAAACAACTTGCTCACACTTTCATATTTATTCCAATTTCTGTTGTTACATATAATGTAGAAACTTTAGCTAATTGGCAACAGAACATGAAACCCATTCATAGTTATTAAAAAAACAAGATCAGACAAATAATATCAGTATTTTGGAACCCAACTAAAGGATGCATCCAAACCTCAAATGTAGCCCCTCTGTTATGAAGCATTCCAGTTAAAACAAATAAGTACTGTACTGTCAGTTGTAGTGACACAGGAAAAGCTTGGCTAGCCATGAAACAAGTGATGGTCAAAGCTCTGCAGATGTAGATTGTAGTCTTCAGTATACAAATTAGTAATATCAGTATCTGTGAGAACAGGAATGGAAAAGATGAAGATCTGAATGAAAACACTACATGAAAAACAGAGGGTTCTGTTAACTGTTGTTATGGTGGCAGCTAGGTGAGGTATTAAAAAGGAAAACTGGAGGAATAATACGAAGGTATCTTTTATTCTTTTATGTGAGTGAAGTCATACTACCTGAAAAATTAATGAAAGTTGTCAGATGGTTGTTGTGGGTTTTTCGGGCTCTTTTTTGAGCCTGAAAAACCCACAACAGATATGGGGGCAAAGGGTTTTTACGATGTCAGAGTTTTACAATCAGACAAATATTGGGAAGACTTCATTAAGCAGCAGCATAGCTTTAACCAGTTGCATTAGGAAGACAATAAAATCAAACCACACATGGTTCGCTCTGGAGAGACATATGTTGATGGGTCGCTTAATCATATACATACCATAATGTAACTGCAGTTTGTCAGTGTAACACTTCAGTAGCAATTAGGTTAATTTTTAACCGTTAACCTATTTTATAGTCCAAATGAAATTTGCATCATTCACATTGAGTATTTATGTTAAATGGAATACAGCAAGAGTTGTGGTTTTTTTAAGTTTCATTTTTATATGCATAAAAATTAAACTTATGGCAGAATATATACTTTGGTGGCTATGTACTGATAGATTTCTTTTCCCTTAACGGTGTCTTTAAGGATAGGCACTTTACCTTACGATTCCACCAGCATGGGTCTACTCCATTCGGAAGAAAAATCTCAGCAAGGAACATGCATTACCTGTCTCAGTGCCATCTTAATGCTATTACATGCCCAATGTTGCTATTATCCTTGTATTCGCTTTGGGGATAGTCAGCAATGTTGCTAAGGGTGTTGCTGCAAGTACTGTCTCTAGAGAACACTAGGGGTGTGCTTTTTCATGTTTTTGGACAGTTCAGCTCCTAGACCTCTCCCAGAATTCTGGGAAATGCAGCCCAGAAATCCAAATCAGCATGTCTGTAGATTTCATTCCCCTGCCCCTGAGAAAGGCATTCAAGTGATTTACTAGCACCATTGGCGCTTCTGCCCTTCTTGCTTCCTGATTTGTTTTTGTTTTAAAAAAATATATGCTGCAGGGCTTCCTGGGAGTCATAGTTGTTTCGGAGGTGCCCTCTATAGAGTTTGCTGCAGTCTCTCTCTCTCTCTCTCTCTCTCTCTCTCTCTCTCTCTCTCTCTCTCTTTGGTTAAACAAATTAACTGTAGGGAGTGAGAAGAAACAGGAAGGCTAAGGAAGCCAATGAAGCTGGGGGCACTGGGGACAAAACCTCCAGGTTTTGGGTTTCTGGGCTGCAACACCCAGGATTTTTGGAATTGAAGTCCGAAATCATGAAAGAGAACCCCCTTGAGGACACCTCACTCCATATCCTAAGACTGATACTTCTGATGTGAAATACCATGTTTTTACCTTTCGTTTCTTGGGCAAAGGGGTACAGGATGATAAAGATTTGTGGAGGTGGGGGTTAGATAGAAGTTTTAGAGGAAGAGTTAAGATATGAAAGCTTTATTTCACTACATCTTTTTTGGAACTATGAGTGCAACACAAGTAGAGCAAACAGTTCATCATATTGTATCTAAATAATTTTCCATCCTTTGGAAAGGAGAAGAAAAAGCAGTCACTTGAAGAGAATGATGCCATTGAGCATTGTGGGAATGTGTTCTGGATTCTCTGGGTCTGTTTTGCCAGTGGTACCTTGAACACAAAATGAAATCAGGCTTGGTTACTCTTCTGTTGGCATTTCACTGCAACAGGACGGAAATACCCTCTTTTAATATAAGATCAGGTGTAATCCCCTGCATACAAAGGGGGGAAGTTTTCTTAATTAAGGTACACTAGTGTTTTCCAACTAGGTTTCTTCTAGATGGGTTGAATTACTAAGCATCTTACAGCTAGTATAACTGGCTATGTATGGGCTGTGGAAGGCCCCAGGTTGAGGAAGGCAAAGCTAGACTATAGCAGCCACCCCCTCCCCATGATTTTCTGGGGAATCATTGCCCCACCAATACATATGCAGCAGTAAGCTGTGTGTATTGTATGCAGCAGAAGTACATCACTCCATAAAGTAATGCCGGCTAGTTGAAAGTTTCCCATAGTTATCACCAGCCCCAGTTTGTATTGCTCCTAAAAGTCAGAGTCGTGGTTTTGCAGGTTAATTCAGCCTTGCAATTTTACTCAGCCTGTTCAGTGCATACTATATACAGTACATGTAAAATGATTGTCTATACATTATTAGACTTCATCTGCAGAATTACAGTGGGGTCTTGACTTGAGAACTTAATCCGTATTGGAAGGCAATTCTCAAGTCAAAAAGTTCTCAGATCAAATCTGCATTTCCCATAGGAATGCATTGAAAACCATTTGATCCGTATCTGCTCTTTTCCGTCCATAGAAACTAATGGGAAGCTGCTATTCCGCCTTCGACCACTAGAGGGGGATAATTTGTTTCTTTTTTTCTTAGGTCAAGAAAGGTTCAGGGAAGGCAGGGAAAATACAGTCCAGGCAGGACAGTACCAGGCAGTCCGAAGACTGTCTCCCAATCCACTCTCTAAATGCTGGGAGGAGTGAGGAAGCAGACAGGCACCCTTTTCACTGGGCAACAGTTAACTGAAAGTTCACATTTTGCACTTTCCCTGCCTCCCACGTGGGTTTTTTTCAGTTCTTAACTCAAATCTAAGTATGTAAGTCAAGTCAATATTTTCCTAAGAGAGTGGTTCTTAAGTCAAAATGTTCTTAACTCGAGCCATTCTTAAGTCAAGACCCCACTGTAATGTGAAAGCAAGGGAGGGCGTTTTGCTTGCCTTTAAGTTCATTTTAGTACCATGGTTTGAAGCTTTCTGTGCTCACACAAAGAAAGGGAGGTGGCAAGCATGCGAAGTAGAGCCTAGTGCATATGTTTTACTTTACAATGGATCTCACACACTTCAAAATAGAAATGTATGCTCTCTTTTGTAATTTGCTAAATGACCTGTGCCTTTCAAACAAAACAAAACAAAAACCCTAAACATATCTAGGTGCTTATTTAACCAGAGCGGTGGGTTTGCTTTGGTACCAGTACACTACATTTTCTAATTTAGCTGGAAGGAAAGAAAGGATCCATAAAATACAAAGTTTAGGACAAACCTTAAAAGAAGTGAAAGACACCATACTTCCACAGCAGTGAGCTGAAATCCTGTTGCACAGTTACACAAATTGTGTAACTCTTAGATGTGCATTGCTATAAGTTAAGAAGTCTCCATAGACATTATCTGTTGCATGGAGTCACATACAACAGATAACATCTATAGAGATTTCTTAATTTATGGCAGTTTAATTCTAAAAGTAATGCTGTTTGTGTAACTATGTAACAGGATTTCAGCTGTTAATTTCAATGGGATTCTCTTCTGTGGTGTTTTAAGTAGATCGTGCCCATAACGGTTTTCTTCCCAAACCAGCATTTATAGGAACAACGTGTGTATGTGTGTCTCTCTACCTTTGGGTGAGTGTGGTATCCCTAAATATGTGTCACTAAATTAGAAGGAACAAATTTTAAACTCTTGAAGTAAAAATA